AGGTTGTCTTAAAAACAGAACGTTTTCTCTACTTTTCAAAGCATCTCATTCATCTATTAGCCCTACTGGACCCTTTAACAGACCCAAATAACAGATTTCCCTACCCTTTAATATACTTAAACTAGTGAAATCACTACCCTCTCTTATACATGTATCTAAAGCCTAAAAAAAGGTAACCCTTTGCGGCGGAGACTCCCAGTATAGGAAAATAAAGGAAAACCCCTGGGTTTGGTTTTTTTTAAAAGATACTGTTTTTAAACATTCTCTTTATTCCCAGCCTGGAAGCACAAAATATTGGCGTTCAGTCCTGAACACATTGAGTGATGCCATAAACAACAAGTTTACTCCGCTACGAGACGATGCCCATCCTCTCCCCTGCGGTGAGTTATTTCGAATCCTTTCCCCTTGTCGTTATGACGTGCATGTTCCATATACATGCCAAGAAGCTGTTTTATTAAAAGGCCGGGAATAAAATATACACAAAAAATTAATAATTGAAGTATCTGTTAGTTTCCCTGAAATCAGGAATACGTATTATCAACAGAGAATAACGGGACAGAGAGGGTAAGGCCCTACAGTCAGTTCAGCCGAACCGGCTTTGGAAAAATATGAGAATCATTTCACCAAACGTTATTTTAGGCCAATTAAACACTGTTGGTAGAATACATAGTCAGCAGTAGGGGAGGCACCGGTTACTCCTCTTCTTTGCGGGGGAATTTCATTAGCTTGCGGGGGAATACATTAACGCAGATGACGTCATGCATCTCATTAAGATAGGATGATGTCATAGTTTAAATTAATGCCGATGACGTCATGCATCCCATTAAGATAGGATGATGTCAGTTTAAATTAGTGCCGGTGACGTCATGCATGTCATTTAGATAGGACGATGTCAAAGTTTATTTGTAGCTGGCAAGGAGCAAGTGACGTCAGAATTTCCTAGATTTGACGTCACCAAAAAAATATTGAGATCATAATCTATAAACAGAAAAGTGATTTTTATATAATTAGCTATTTGCTATAGTTTTCTGATTAGATATTGTTTGCTATAGTCTTCTGATTGGATGTTGTAAAAACTGTTATGTGTTCAAAATAAAAGCGGGCAAATTTTGAACGTGTTATCTTTGCAGACTATACTAAATGAAAAATCTTTGATCATTAAATTATTTTCACTAAAAATCGGTAATAAACAAAACCAAGACACGGAGGTTAACTGAAAAATCTTTACTTCAAGAGAAGGGAAAAGGAGGTTAAGCGAATGCGAAATCGTACAAATTTTTAGGGCAAAACATGAAAACGAGGTCGAAGCTCAGCAAAGCGAAAAACTGCCTAACAAGCAAAAATGTCAATCTTTGTTTACTTGACTCTGTAGAAAGTATTGCCGGAGTATGAGAATTGTATAGAAAACAACAGGTGGTTCTAAAGTAAACCCTAGCTCTTTTGGTTCTTAAATAAACTCCATTCTTGTTCCTGATGAGTGGAAAGTCTATTTATTAAAATAGGAATAAGAGGTGTGATCGCCTAGCAACACAAGTCTTCTTGTTTAGCGCTAAAAATCGGGTATATAAACAAAACACACACACACATACAAAAAGTGGAGCTGAAAACTCTCTATTTCAATTTTAACTCACCATTACAAAAGCGTTTTCTCCGTTCCATCTCGAGGAAACGACTAACTATTGAAGTCCCAGCGCTTGAATGATGAGCTTATGGTCTTGTCAATTCAAACGCCCTTAGTCAGTTAATTATGCGGGTTAACAAGCCCAAACTTGAATACAAATTAGTTCATCCCTACAGCTAGTCCCAAGGGAGCACCTTGACTTATTATTATAAAAACACAAACAATAAATAACTTAACAAGGATCGATTAAAACACGCGACAAATAAATTGACAAGACACGAGATACGGTTTTAAAAACTTTATTGAAAACCAGCGACAAAAAGAGTCAAATACACAGCGATTTGGAAGGGATGGGAATTAATCGTGTTGTGGTTTAATTTTATCCTTGCTTTAAATTTTACTATCTTTTGTTTTTGGGTATGGTAATGTATGATAATGATTTTGAAACAACAGAAAAGAAAATTTAAACCAAGGATAAAATTAAACCACAACATATGCATTGGTTCGAGCAAAGATATGTCTGAACTTATGAGGATGGTTAGAGTGATTGCTTCTATGAGCTAAGGTGACAGATGCTGGAAATGTTAAGTGAGTCCAGTTGTGCACAGTTTTATACATTATGGTAGCGGCGTTTAGATGTCGACGGACTTCAAGAGTGTCCCAGCCCAGCGAATGCTGCATAGAAGTTACGCTGGAAAACTGTGAATAATCTGAACAGACAAATCCACTACGAGCCTCAGCGCTCCGGAAGTTAAAAAATTCGTACCGTCTGGTTGCTATGAAGTGACGTAATCATCCAGTTGAGTATCCATCACCGTAACACTTTTGCGGTCAACTACCGCAGCGCTGGTAAAGTACTTTAATTAAAACCGTGTTCAAAACCCTGTAGGAAGTCTGTTTATTTTTGAGTTGATTAATGCACTGCTGACTTTCACGAGGTCAACTTTTGCATAAATTATCAAACATTATGTTAAGCAGGAAATCTACCTATGGTTCGCGGGAGAAGCAACTTCTATAGCGGCGCAAGACAAATGTTCCGAGAGTCGAGGATGTGCTCACAAAATATTCACTATGCGACGAAAGGAGAAATCACTGGCATGATAGCTGCATGTAAAAGTAATTTTATCTATCCAGGTCGCGCCGTGTTCGCTCGAGAACGCTGTGACAACCTCGTTTGGCGCGCTTCTCAATACTTCCAAAACATGTTGTAATCGGTAAGTAGACTTAAGCACTTAGTATCGCCAAGCCATTCGAATCAGTGTATATCCAATTCTTTGTCTGAAGATTCTCGCAAACACATATACCAAGTAAATCTGGATGGAAGAGGAAATTGTCTCCCTAAACGCAGCCAGATTATATTTTGAAGGATGGCGGCACAATTCAACGCGTCTTTCAGGTCAGCCTTAATTTATAGTTCGTAAGAGTATAAATTACGATCTCCCTATTAAGCTTTCTTTGATAAAACTTCAGTAGAAACAAAACAACGCAGACATGACATTCTCCTGCATGAGACACAATCGGCTGAAGGAAATATCTGTTGACAAGTCGGGTAAATTATCCATTCTTGCGCACCGCAAAATCAGCTAAAATCAGTCGCTGGAAACCTGGCATATTATTAAGCCTGAGCGCTTCTATGAATACCACGTTTAGAACTTCGACGCGTAAGAAAAAAAGGCAGTTGTTCTATATCCTTTCTGGTTCAGCCAGGTAGAAGTCCTGGCATGATATAATTATGCCTGAGCGCTTCTAGGATATATAACACGTTTAGCATTTCGACCCGTAGCCGTAAAAAAAAATTTAGGCAGTTGTTCTATATCCTTTCTGGTTCATCCAGGTAGAAGTCCTGGCATGATATAGTTATGCCTGAGCGCTTCTAGGATATATAACACGTTTAGCATTTCAACCCGTAGCCGCAAAAAAAAAATTTAGGCAGTTGTTCTATATCCTTTCTGGTTCAGCCAGGTAGAAGTCCTGGCATGATGTTATTATGCCTGAGCGCTTCTGGGATATATAACACGTTTAGCGTTTCGACCCGTAGCCGTAAAAAAGAATTTAGGCAGTTGTTCTATATCCTTTCTGGTTCATCCAGGTAGAAGTCCTGGCATGATATAGTTACGCCTAAGCGCTTCTAGGATATATAACACGTTTAGCATTTCAACCCGTAGCCGCAAAAAAAAAAATTTAGGCAGTTGTTCTATATCCTTTCTGGTTCAGCCAGGTAGAAGTCCTGGCATGTTATTATTATGCCTGAGCGCTTCTAGGATATATAACACGTTTAGCATTTCAACCCGTAGCCGCAAAAAAAAATTTAGGCAGTTGTTCTATATCCTTTCTGGTTCAGCCAGGTAGAAGTCCTGGCATGATGTTATTATGCCTGAGCGCTTCTGGGATATATAACACGTTTAGCGTTTCGACCCGTAGCCGAAAAAAATAAATTAGGCAGTTGTTCTATATCCTTTCTGGTTCATCCAGGTAGAAGTCCTGGCATGATATAGTTATGCCTGAGCGCTTCTAGGATATATAACACGTTTACCATTTCAACCCGTAGCCGCAAAAAAAAAAATTTAGGCAGTTGTTCTATATCCTTTCTGGTTCAGCCAGGTAGAAGTCCTGGCATGTTATTATTATGCCTGAGCGCTTCTAGGATATATAACACGTTTAGCATTTCAACCCGTAACCGTAAAAAAAAATTAGGCAGTTGTTCTATATCCTTTCTGGTTCATCCAGGTAGAAGTCCTGGCATATTATTACTCCTGAGCGCTTCTAGGATATATGACACGTTTAGCATTTCGACCCGTAGCCGTAAAAAAAAAATTTAGGCAGTTGTTCTAAATCCTTTCCGGTTCATCCAGGTTGAGGTCCTGGCATATTATTACGCCTGAGCGCTTCTAGGATATATAACACGTTTAGCATTTCGACCCGTAGCCGTAAAAAAAAAATTTAGGCCGTTGTTCTATATCCTTTCTGGTTCACCCAGGTAGAAGTCCTGGCATGATGTTATTATGCCTGAGCGCTTCTAGGATATATAACACGTTTAGCATTTCGACCCGTCGCCGTAAAAAAAATTTAGGCAGTTGTTCTATATTCTTTCTGGTTCAGCCAGGTAGAAGTCCTGGCATGATGTTATTATGCCTGAGCGCTTCTGGGATATATAACACGTTTAGCGTTTCGACCCGTAGCCGAAAAAAATAAATTAGGCAGTTGTTCTATATCCTTTCTGGTTCATCCAGGTAGAAGTCCTGGCATGATATAGTTATGCCTGAGCGCTTCTAGGATATATAACACGTTTACCATTTCAACCCGTAGCCGCAAAAAAAAAATTTAGGCAGTTGTTCTATATCCTTTCTGGTTCAGCCAGGTAGAAGTCCTGGCATGTTATTATTATGCCTGAGCGCTTCTAGGATATATAACACGTTTAGCATTTCAACCCGTAACCGTAAAAAAAAATTAGGCAGTTGTTCTATATCCTATCTGGTTCATCCAGTTAGAAGTCCTGGCATATTATTACTCCTGAGCGCTTCTAGGATATATGACACGTTTAGCATTTCGACCCGTAGCCGTAAAAAAAAAATTTAGGCAGTTGTTCTATATCCTTTCCGGTTCATCCAGGTTGAGGTCCTGGCATATTATTACGCCTGAGCGCTTCTAGGATATATAACACGTTTAGCATTTCGACCCGTAGCCGTAAAAAAAAAATTTAGGCAGTTGTTCTATATCCTTTCTGGTTCACCCAGGTAGAAGTCCTGGCATGATGTTATTATGCCTGAGCGCTTCTAGGATATATAACACGTTTAGCATTTCGACCCGTCGCCGTAAAAAAAATTTAGGCAGTTGTTCTATATCCTTTCTGGTTCAGCCAGGTAGAAGTCCTGGCATGATGTTATTATGCCTGAGCGCTTCTGGGATATATAACACGTTTAGCGTTTCGACCCGTAGCCGCAAAAAAGAAATTAGGCTGTTGTTCTATATCCTTTCTGGTTCACCCAGGTAGTTTAGCGTTTCGACCCGTAGCCGAAAAAAAGAAATTAGGCTGTTGTTCTATATCCTTTCTGGTTCACCCAGGTAGAAGTCCTGGCATGATGTTATTATGCCTGAGCGCTTCTAGGATATATAACACGTTTAGCATTTCGATCCGTAGCCGTAAAAAAAAATTTAGGCAGTTGTTCTATCGATCCGTAGCCGTAAAAAAAAATTTAGGCAGTTGTTCTATATCCTTTCTGGTTCACCCAGGTAGAAGTCCTGGCATGATGTTATTATGCCTGAGCGCTTCTGGGATATATAACACGTTTAGCGTTTCGACCCGTAGCCGAAAAAAAAATTAGGCTGTTGTTCTATATCCTTTCTGGTTCACCCAGGTAGAAGTCCTGGCATGATATAATTATGCCTGAGCGCTTCTAGGATATATAACACGTTTAGCATTTCGATCCGTAGCCGAAAAAAAGAAATTAGGCTGTTGTTCTATATCCTTTCTGGTTCACCCAGGTAGAAGTCCTGGCATGATGTTATTATGCCTGAGCGCTTCTAGGATATATAACACGTTTAGCATTTCGATCCGTAGCCGGAAAAAAGAAATTAGGCTGTTGTTCTATATCCTTTCTGGTTCACCCAGGTAGAAGTCCTGGCATGATGTTATTATGCCTGAGCGCTTCTGCGGTATATAACACGTTTAGCGTTTCGACCCGTAGCCGTAAAATAAAATTAGGCTGTTGCTCTATATCCTTTCTGGTTCACCCAGGTAGAAGTCCTGGCATGATGTTATTATGCCTGAGCGCTTCTAGGATATATAACACGTTGGCAATGAAATCGACCGCAGACTTTAAAATGTTCTTTTTAGAAGGCACTGAATTATTTTTTCCGGACATTTTGTTTGATTTTGCATTTTTAATTAATTTTATTTGTCGCCCCAGGATGATGACATGATTGCGTGAAAATTGACGCCTCTATCATATTAGATGCGAAATACGATCAGAGATTAAGGGAATAGGGAATGTTGCAAGCTACTGGGTATCCAGCTGAGATAGCTGACTTTTACTCAGCTATCTCAGCTGGATACTGAGGGGTTTTTTTGGTTGCTAAGACCGTGCAGCTCGTTATGTATAGCGCAGCGTTGGACAGCCTCTAACGCTTTTATGTGTTGTTTTTCAAAAGGGCTCCAGGCAGCTGACGCATAATTATTCTTCATGGGGTCTCACAAGAGAGTTGTCTGCTTGGGTCTTAACATACTGGCTGCTTCCTGAACAATTTCTACGTAATAGACCCAGTATCTTCATAGCTTTGTGTTTAACAGATTTTACATGAAAGTCTCATTCTAGGTTATCTTGTATAAAAACACCAAGATATTTATGGCAAGAAATTGATTCTACTGGGCTATTACAGAGCCTGCAACCAGCTTGAAACTTAAGGAGAGACCTAGTAATTGACATGATGTTACATTTAGTTAAATTAAAATTCATTTGCCAAGTAGCAGCCCAGTAGGATAGAGTGTCAAGGTCTTGTCATATCATGAACATTTGAGACTTCGGAATAGAGAACAGCATCATCAGCAAATAACTTAATTTTAGTGTTAAGGTTATGTACAATATCATTGATGTAAATCAGAAACAGGAGGGGACCTAAGACTGTGCCTTGAGGGACACCAGAGGTAACACTAATCTAAGAAGACCTTGTGCCAGAAACCTGGACACACTGAGTACGGTCCAGTAAGAAGTTCTCGATCCAAGAAAGACTGTTACCAGTGATGCCATAATAATTAAGTTTAACTACGTGTCTCTGGTGGGAAACTGAGTCAAAGGCCTTTGAAAAGTCAATTAAAAGTACATCTGTCCTGGTTTGTTTGTCCAGCGAAGACAACCAATCGTCAAGGACGGAGATAAGCTGGGTTTCAGTAGAGAACCCTTTCCGAAAGCCATGTTGGTGAGGAGTAAGGATATTATTGATCTCGAGATGGTTAGATAAATGGCTGCACAGAACATGTTCCATGATTGTACTCGAGATGCATGTCAAGGAGATTGGCCTATAGTTATTTGGCAAGGATTTAAGTAAGCCCCGACGATAACAATCGAAAGAAGAAACCACGACCGATACGATGCATTGAAAGAAGTTTGGGTAAGGGTCACTTAATTCTTATGTTAGTGTTAACAACCTTAAACAGTGACTAAAATTTACCTTGACCGTTTGGTTTGATGTAAGTGCTTCAGGTGAGCTGTAAATCATAGCTCAAGGAGCCACTGTCATGGTCTGCTGCATGAATTTAGCGGTGCCATAATCTGACACTTTGCCTCTCCATTGGTCATCCTGTCGCCATAGCAACACATTCGCACTGCTGACATCACGATGAATGATGGGCTCTGGTTTCTTCTGATGAAGATAGTTTAGTGCACGTGCTACATCCAGAGAAATGACGGCTATTTCTGTCTCGGAGAGTTGCCGCTGCTACAACAAAGTGCGCAGACTTTTCTCCATCAGCTCGGTCACAAACAGAGGGTTTCCCTCATCATTGGTGGCTCCGATAAACTGTAGTAAGTGAGGATGGCAGTATTTTGCTGCGATATTCATTTCTCTTTCAAACAGATTTATGTTATGAGGAGAAAGAATCAACTCATGGATCTGTTTCACTGCTACAGTACAGCCACAATACGTTCCCTCATTGACACTTCCCCATCCTCCCCTCCCAAGGTATTTCTCTGTGATTTGAATTTCGTCCTGGGGAATAACCCAGTCACGTGTTTCCTGGTTCCGCAATTGATTTATTGTTTGCTGTGCTGTTGTAAGACTTAACTGTAGTTCAGAAACTTGTCCTCGGCAATTGGTCAACTGTTGTCCTATCTCCCTCAGTTGCCGTTGCAACTCCGTTAGTTGCCTCTGAGAATTTTCTTCACGTTGTTGAAACTTCCTCAGCTGCCTCTCAGAATTTTCTTCACGTTGTTGAAACTCCCTCAGCTGCCCTCTCTGAGAACTTTCTTCACGTTGTTGAAACTCCCTCAGCTGCCCTCTCTGAGAACATTCTTTACGTTGCTGAAACTCCATCAGCTTCCTTTGAGAATTTTTTTCTCTTTCCTGAAGCTCTCTCAACAGCCGTTGCATACTTTGTTCATGTTGCTCAATATCCGTTATCTGGCTTTGAGAGTCCTGATACCGTTCTTTAACCACTCTGAGTTTCCTTTGTAAATCCTGTTCGCTTTGTTGCATCTCCCGTTTCTGTCTCTGGAAGTTTTCTTCACGTCGCTGAAAATCCCTCCACTGACTTTCTAATTCTGATGTTCGCCTTGGCGAATTTGCTTCGCGTAGTGCAATTTTTCTGAAAAGATAATTCATGATCAAAAACAAAACAAGGCAATCATTAAAATTACACAAGTATCATGGGCGAACTGATTAAGTGTAACCTGAAAAAGAAAAATTAAAAATTTTGATTTCAAAGAAAAATTTAAATGCACTGCGTTTCTCTCTTGAAACTGAGTGACACATACGCATAAATGAGATGCTGATGAAGAAGATGAAATTCGGAATTCCGTTTCGCTCCGATTGTCACTTAATATTGCTTGCTTGTAAACTGAGTGTAGCTAAATGTCGTGGGTCGTGGATAGTGGGTATATAAAGGTCGTGGGTCGTGGGTGTGGGTGTGGGTAAATGTCGTGGGTAAAAAAAAAGTCTTCTAAAAAAAATAAAAATTAAAAAATTGAAAAGCAAAAAGTTGTAAAATTCAAGGAATGAAAATCTCCGCGTACATACCAGTCCTATTCCCCTTCCCCGCGGTCAGCAAAACAAATAGGCGAATCATTTAACGGGCACTAAAAAGGCATTTAGGTGAAAAATAAAAGAAACTCTGTACACTGTCTAAACCTGAAGCAGGCTATAGAAAAAGTGGAGACTGAACTGCTCTTTCTCACAGATGTCAAAATTCGTGACTGAAACGTCCTTTCAGTTTAAGGAATGATATTTCGAATCGTTACAGCAAAGATTTTGTACACAAAACAGCACAAAACAAAACAAAAAACGAATCGAGAAAATTGTATTTCCATACGGCAATAAAATTGACATACTGTCTCGCTTAACTTGAAAGTCTGGGAACGAAGGTGGTTCCTTCTTACGGTAAGAGACCTAAAACTTCTTTAAGAAAGACTTAATCTATCCAAAAATATGAAATACCTCAAAATTTCCTTTTTTGCTTCCCTTTCCCAGGGTGATTGCATTCCACCGTGTTAAAAAATCTCCCCTGATCATTGGAATCGCAGATCGAATAAAGATTAATGGTGAGCAGCTATTTCCATTCAGCGAGTTTGAGCTGTCCCATACTTTCTACAAATTGTAGGTACAATTTGCCTCTGTTTCGTTTATTTCGCGGCGATAGCTCAGGTATGGATAAATCTTCATTGGCAACATGTCTTTTATTCGTTGATGTTGTGAAAAGGTAGCCAAGTCCCGCGTAGCTAAGGAAATATCAGGAAGAGGACGAAGAAGACGTGACGCAAAACGCAATCAAGGAGTTAGAGATTCTCGTTTCATAAATATTTTACAACTTTTATCTATTTGCTTCTTTTTTTCAATTACTTTACTTTATCTTTTTATTTATTATACTTTTTTTGACCCACGACATTTACCCACACCCACGACCCACGACCCACGACCCACGACATTTAGCTACACTCTTGTAAACTCACACAAAATATTGAGGTGTGTGTCCAAGAATAGTTCCTTCTTTGAACGAGCTCTCATTTTTTCGTTCAGATGAATCTTTGCGTTCGAGGTACGAAAACGCAACCCCTAATTTGTCTTTTGTTCTGTGCATTATTGGGTTCCCTGTGCAATTACTAAGGGATGTTTTTACGAGATTGCACTTGTCGTCGTCTTCGACACACATTTGCCTCGCTTTGAGGCGCTTGCTTACGTTTTGCCTCACTTTGACGAACTAACTCACGTGGTGATTCATGCCTCCTCAAACGTTTGCTGAGGTCTTTTATTCTGTCTTCGTAAAGCGTTCATCTTTTAAAAGTTTGCTGAATCTTCGTAAAGCGTACATATTTCAAGAGTTTTGCTGTAGGTTTACTGTCGATCTGTGTTTGCTGAATCTTTCAAAACGTTGATCTTTAAAAAGGTTTCGGCGGCCGTTGTGCCACAAAGTAAATCTACCGAGATGTGAAGCTCGGCGGCGCCGTTTCATCATGACCTGTGATATTTTCGGTACCGGACAAACGAACATTTTAGGCCTATGTTATTTATTCGGAAAAGCGTATAAACAGCAAACAGCAGCTCCACTCTAGTCAGTGAAATCAACACACTCGACCAAATTAGTGCACTTATTGAGACGGACCATACGACATCAGTAGCCTTCAAGGGTCTTTAAGGCTTTATCATAATGATACACAGTTTAAATAGAGGTTTCGCTGTAAGCAATCCTTACGTTTAAGATATGCCATGACCAAATTAAAGCCCGGTTTGCATATGATCGCTACCATCGCTGTCATCTCTGCGATCGCTGAGAAGAAAAACTTCAGCGATCGCAGCGATCATAGCGATCATATGAAACCACTCTCCAGCGATCGCAGCGACAACAATCGCTGAGATCTAAAAAGTTGTATCTCAGCGATCGCTGGAGAGTGGTTTCCATATGATCGCTGAACTTTTTTTTCACCAATCACAGCGATCGTAGCGATCAAATGGAAACCGGGCTTAATCTATCGCAATAACTATCCACCCTTCCTCCTCAACTGCTACCTGTACGCCTTACAAACTTAGTGACATGTCGAACACATTCCGTATGTCCTCTCTCTGACTACTTTATCGGTCTTCCTCTCTCCTTTTCTCATCTTTCTTTCCCTCCAAGATTATCTTTCGCAAGTCCTTATTCCTTTACATTGGCAGCATTTAAAAGCGATATTCATTTCTCTTTCAAACAGATTTATGTTATGAGGAGAAAGAATCAACTCATGGATTTGTTTCACTGCTACAGTACAGCCACAATACGTTCCCTCATTGACACTTCCCCATCGTCCCCTCCCAAGGCATTTGTCTGTGATTTGAATTTCGTCCTGGGGAATAACCCAGTCACGTGCTTCTTGGCTGCGCAATTCACTTATTGTTTGCTGAGCTGTTGAAAGACTTGACTGTAGTTCAGAAACTTGTCCTTTACAATTTCTCAATTGCTGTCTTGTCTCCCTCAATTGCCTCTGTGAGTTTTCTTCACGTTGCTGAAACTCCGTTAGCTGCCTTTGAGAGCTTTGATCCCGTTCCTGAAGATCTCTGAGTTGCCGCTGCAAATTTTGTTCACGCTGCCGCGACTCCGTAAGCTGCCTTTGAGCGCTCTGTTCCCGTTCCTGAAGCTCTCTGAACTGTCTTTGTAAATTCTCTTCGCGTTGCTGCACATCTCTTAACTGCCTCTGGAAATCGCTCAACTGTCTTTCTAATTCTGAGGTTCGGCTTGTCGAGTTTGCTTCGCGTAGATCTTGCATTTTTTCTGAAAGGATAATTCATAAACGATACAAAGCAATCAAAATCACTTGGGTACCATGGGCAAACAGACTACGTTCTACCAGGAGCATATGGTTTTACTTAAAAAAAAAAACCTTGACTTAACAGAAAATGCACTGCATTTCTACTCTTGAAACTGAGTGACAACTGCGCATAAACGAAATATTGATGAATGAAATGAAATTAAGAATAGTTTCTTTCGCCCAGTTGTCACTTAACACTGCTTGTTCGTAAAACGTCTTCAGCTTGCGAAGTTGAGTTACAACCCTATAGCAGCTGATTTTTGTCCTCCCCCACCCCACCCCTCCACCGCCTTTTTTGATTATTATTTTCCAGTGTTAGACAATTCGTTACTCGACAAGGTGCGGAGAGACAAAGATTATGGCGTCAATTAACGCGAAATTTGAAAACATCTGGCCCCGGTTGTTCAAATGTTGGATAGCGCTATCCACCGGGTAAATCACTATCCAATGGATAAGTATTGGGGAAACTAATTACACTATCCACTGGATAGAGATTTATCCGGTGGATAACGCTATCCACCGGGTAAATCACTATCCAAGGGATAAGTATTGGGGAAACTAATTACACTATCCACTGGATAGAAATTTATCCGGTGGATAACGCTATCCACTGGGTAAATCACTATCCAATGGATAAGTATTGGGGAAACTAATTACACTATCCACTGGATAGAGATTTATCCGGTGGAGAGTGCTATCCACCGGATAAATCACTATCCAATGGATAAGTATTGGGGAAACTAATTACACTATCCACTGGATAGAGATTTATCCGGTGGAGAGCGCTATCCACTGGGTAAATCACTATCCAATGGATAAGTATTGGGGAAACTAATTACACTATCCACTGGATAGAGATTTATCCGGTGGAGAGCGCTATCCACCGGATAAATCACTATCCAATGGATAAGTATCGGGGAAACTAATTACACTATCCACTGGATAGAGATTTACCCGGTGGATAGCGCTATCTATCCACCGGATAAATCACTATCCAATGGATAAGTATCGGGGAAACTAATTACATTATCCACTGGACAGAGATTTATCCGGTGGAGAGCGCTATCCACCGGATAAATCACTATTTTGACTCCACTACACAACATCAACAGACAAAACGTAATGGCAAATAAGTTTATTTTGGGACGGCTTGGCGAGAACCAACCCTTCAAAGTATTTATGTAAATACAATAATAGGTGAATACTGGTGAATACCTAATGTACAACACTTGTAAACTAGCTTTCACAAAAAGATAAAACTCGTGCGACAAATGGTCGCTCTTGACCTGAATCTCCCATTTAAGCAGGCAGGCTTAGTGCCAGTCATTCTGGGGAAACTAATTAATAAAACTCAGACAACGCATTACTGGCACACGGAACACGGTAGTAGCACAGAGGCTAAACAAAAAGAAAAAACTCCTCACAACTGGTCGATCTCGACCTGAATCCCCCAAATAAGCACACAGGCTTAGTGCCAGTTAGGCTGGAGAAACTAATTAATAAAACTCAGACAACGCATAACTAACTCAGACAACGCATAACTAGCTTTCACAAAAAGATAAAACTCGTGCGACAAATGGTCGCTCTTGACCTGAATCTCCCATTTAAGCAGGCAGGCTTAGTGCCAGTCATTCTGGGGAAACTAATTAATAAAACTCAGACAACGCATTACTGGCACACGGAACACGGTAGTAGCACAGAGGCTAAACAAAAAGAAAAAACTCCTCACAACTGGTCGATCTCGACCTGAATCCCCCAAATAAGCACACAGGCTTAGTGCCAGTTAGGCTGGAGAAACTAATTAATAAAACTCAGACAACGCATAACTGGCACGAGGAACACGGTAGGAGCACAGAGGCTAAGCAAAAAGAAAAAACTGCTACAACTGGTCGATCTCGACCTGAAACCCCCAAATAAGCACACAGGCTTAGTGCCAGTTAGGCTGGAGAAACTAATTAATAAAACTCAGACAACGCATAACTGGCACGAGGAACACGGTAGGACCACAGAGGCTAAGCAAAAAGAAAAAACTGCTACAACTGGTCGATCTCGACCTGAATCCCCCAAATAAGCACGCAGGCTTAGTGCCAGTAAGGCCAGGGAAATTTAATAAAACTGTGATCAACGTATAACTGGGACCGGTAACACTTCAGGAGCACAGAGGCTGAGTGCCAGAAAAACTGGGAATTATCTCCACTAATGTACCCAACAAGGCACGTAGCCCAATAACCAGTAAGACTGCCATAAAAGGCTAGGGCGGGACATTGAGGGTAAACAATGAATAACGACCCTGGCTAGAGGTCTGTAACATTGCCTGCAACCTAACTGCGTCAAACGAGACTTACGTCGCCTCCTAAAGAGCGGTTCCGGGACAGCTGACCTAAGCATACATGGAAACTAAATATATCAAGTAAAGGAGCAGGTGCAAAACTGAGATAACTAGTGTACAAGTACATAAAATAAGAAACGGCCGGGGAAAAAGGCTGAAAACTAGCAGAGCTGAGCTACCGCTTACAAACTGAAGTAAATGCGGTCAGACGGAGGCCAGAAAAAACCTGCCCAAAAAAACCCCGAAGGGAAAAAATGCGGGCAGGAAATCTGGGTAGGAACCAAGGCTCAAGCTCAAAGCCCTTCCTACTGGACTTTACAATGTAATCGAGAATATGTTGCTCCTAAAAATAAATAAAACAAAAATTTAAGAAAAACCAAGGAGAGGTTGGTTCGTAAGCCTAGATGACGAACACGTGATATACGCAGCCTTATATACCCCCGATATGGCTACCCATGGTGCACCCGGCCTAGTACCCAGGCCCTGTTGTATCTCGTGCCGTCAAAATATTTATTTCTGCCTTCTTCGCGGGCTCATTCGTCAGAAATAACATATCCAATGGA